TATTTCTTTGAATAGTATTAACTAAACATTTACTTACAGTAAATGAATATTTATTTTATAAAATGATGATACTCAAATTAAAATGATGGTTCCTGTAGCAAAGAAATATTACTGTTCAAACAGATTTTTATTAAAATTTAGTAAATTTTAATTTTTCAGTGTACAAAGAACTAAATGTATCATTATAATTTGGTAGCCAAGAAACTTAATTAAACTTAAAAATAGTAGTTTTTAAATAGCATGCATCGAACATAACATCTTTTCACTCTTGTGGTCTATTCAAACAAGTTTTGCATGATATAGTTCCATGAGATCAGCAGGAAATAGCGGATAGCTCAGAGCGTCATACAAACTCTTTAAAAGCTTCTTTGTTTGAAGGACTAACGCGGGGACGCGATGTTGCGACATGCTCGAACAGTACCGATACCCGATATTTACTCGATGTAGATAATAATGCAGTATAAACGAATATGATACAACGCAGAAAAATGTAGAAATCTTTAAAATGCTTCATCTGACATAATTATTTTTTGTTTGATACAAAAATATTATTTATTCAAGAAATAATTATCAGAACGTAACTCTTAAATTCTTTCAAAAATTTAAAAAAATAGAACAACTAATTATAATTAGCTTAAAAATTAAATAATAATGTTATCTTCTAGCCTTTAAATTATAGACAAAAATAATATAAAAATTAAATAGTATAAGGAAACTATGAATTCTTAATAAATTGCATAATGCATGATGTGAAATTGATTGTTTTGCACGAAAAATGAAGAAACGTCAGTAGTTGAACGAAGGCTATACTATATGCATACCGATTGCAACAAGACGCTACGCGTGCCAACTCGGGGTGCACGACCCCTTATCAGAATCCGTCTCTCCTCCTCCAACGACGAATCATCGTTGCACTTTATCGGGGCGAGTCACGAACTGTCTTCGGTGCGTTAAACCGCCGCTGTCCGAAGCCTATTCTCGAAGACTGTTGCGATATTAATAGACAAGGCCGTCAAGACGAAACGAGAAGATACCTCGTGGGTGAACGGATAAAGCCTATCGAGATAAAGCCGGTCAAAAACATAATGATCGAGATGATAGTCTTAGATCCAAATGAAATCTCTCATATTCTTTTATATCACCAAAGAGCTTTTTTTAAAATTTAAATAGATACTGATAAGAGTGAATGGAATAATTCATGATAATTTCAGTATTTTGCTATTTTCATATAATTATAATTAGAGCATTAGTATTATAGCTACGTAGTATTATAGTTAGCGTAGGTATAATGACTGTTCCTAATATCTCCGCTATTAGGTGGCAAATTAGTGATTATTTATGAAGTTATTTATTTAATAGCGCGGCGTTACACCATGACGCTAATGCTAATGTTATAATATACACAATAACCATTTATTATAGCCCATTTTTCATGCATTTAGAAACATTTTTTTAAATATACTTTAGCATTTAATTATTATACATTGTGTCTCATTCTTCTTAAACTCGAACGTATTATCACACGAATATATATAAGTGTTGTTTGTTATTTAACTTTAGTTGTTATATGTATATTTTGAGTTATACAAAGTTAAACGATAGTATGACATTTGGCTAAGCATGTTGGCCTCCTAAGCACGTTGACATTCTCTCTCTTTTTCGAGATTTTCATATCAAAATAATTATTTGATAAATTGGTTATAATTTTACTGTTAATTTATAATTTATGTTATGTATATGTACTATAGCAACCTAAATGCGAAAAAAGTTACGTGTACGTATATATATTTGCATACATTCTGCAATATTTTACTTTATTGTTAATTTTGTAAATACTGCATTTTTTTAACCAAAACGAATTTTTTAAATCTATTTTTATAGAAGGCCACATTTCCACTCTCATTCCTCTTCGAGCTATTATGCAATGCCACATTTCTATAAATAATATTCTAGGTAATAAATATTTCATATTTTTGAGTCTAGAATCAATTAAACAACACTATGATTAAATATAAGAATCATATAATATTACCTTTTCTTTTATACATTTTTACATAAGACATATATTAAAATTGTATGATAATTTTATTATATATTTTTGCTAGTAGAATTTTAATTAATATTAATTATATATTCTGTGCAGAGAGAACAATTAATTTTTTATTCATATGAGATCATCTGAATTCTTTATAACTAAAAATTGCCATTTTTTACAATAAATAACCATTGAAGAAGAATATACTTAAAACAAATTAAATTAAAATTGATATTAGCATGAAATTAAAAATTATGTGAACGGTTTATTTTAAAGACAATTATAAGTTACTTTTAATTGAGTTTTTATTCAAAATATGACAAGATGTTTCTTATTAAAGTACTCAGTTTCTTATTAAAAAGTAAGTTATTTAATATTAAATAAATTTTTGATACTAAGCCTTTTACAATATAATAAGATTCGGATGGTAGGTGGATTAAATTTTATTTCAAGAATTGTATAGAAAATTCTAAGGCAAATAAATTCAAAGCTAACTGAAAATTAAATCTTAAAAATACATATAACATATAATTATATTGTATAATTTTTTACATTTAGTTTATTCTTCTTTTTATGATAATAGCAAGCAATAGATAAACTAAAATTTTATAATAACCGACTTAAATTGATGAACAAAATAACTTTATTCATTGTATTATAATGATATATCAAGTGGATAAATATTCACATGGAGAGATTCAAGATGCATTGATTATACGCGACATGTTGTGCGATTATCGCGATAGATACATACAGTATTCTAAAAGATACATACATCAAAAGCTGGATTTAATTTCTCATTGTGTTTTAAATGTTAATTGATTGACAGAAATTATCCTAATTACTTTACATATTCTTTAGAATGTTTAAAATTTTAAATTAAGCTTCAAAGAATAATTAATAAAATGAATGTTATTCTATAATTAATTATGGAGCGTATCTTCGCACAACAAATATAGGTAACATTAATTGAATTTTTTAATTGTAATTAATAAAATTTTATAATTTAAAATTTTTGCAGGAAATATTTATTTTTAGACCTTTGAAAGCTTTTTTCTCATCTGTTTTGATACATTGTTATTTCTCTTTCGACACATTGTGAAACAAAATGTATAGTATCACTAATCAAGCAAATTTATTTCGTTTTTCGATCTCCCATCACTGAACTTCTCTACATCATTCGATAAATGAACCCGATCTATGAATCGCAGTATAGCATAAATTTTATATTCGCCGGCTATTTTTATTGTTTTGTGATTGTTACTTCCGTGAATCTAAATCGAGCATTGAATGATCAAAGATCTTGGAAACGTCATAGATTACATTCAAAATATTATAAAATATATTTTATATATATA